CTGCCCGGCGCAGGTGCAGGCAGCGGCCGTGCACTGCAGCAGCAAACGCGAGCGTGGGCACAAACTTCGCACCACCACCAGCCACGACAGCACGCCAAGTCTCAAAAACAACGTCCTGCACCGCCGAGGGAGCCAGCAGGTACGCACCAGCGGTGCGTCCGTCCGCCAGCATCTTCGCAATGAACTTCGCGGTGTCTCGTATCGGCGAGCCAAACACAATCACAGCCTGCGTCTAAGTCACAGCAAACCGCTCCCACGCAGCATCGAACTCCTTCGGGTCGGCCCCACCTAGCCCAGCACCCTGCACAGCGAAGACGCCGCTCAGCTCGTAGCCCACCTCCGACATCACACGCCCTGCCTGCTCGCACTCGCTGTCGCCAAAAAAGGATATTCCGCGGGTACGTGAAGCCCATCCGAAGCACCCGCAGCCGAGCCACGGCAAAGCGGAGAAGTGCCAGCAGCTCCGTCGCAGGATCAGCACGCAAAAAGTATACATTGGGGTTCCACCCACGCACCACACCCGACCCGGTGAACGGGGCAAAAGCTACGACGTCGTGTTCCGCAAGAACGTCCTTTACGTTCTGCAACAGTTGGTCACCGCAGTGACCAACGAGGGCGTAAATGCCCTTGTCACTCAACGCCGTAGAGAGATCAGATGGGTAATCGGTTTTTTTTGTGATTTTGTGGACAATCTCTACACTCACATCCTCCCCCACAATGAACTTCCGCGAGTAAAACGAAGCCCTCAACCCCGCAAAGATGTTTTTGAAAAGAATATCAAGCAAAGGATCACCAAAGCGAAAAGTCACAAGTTTAACAACGCTTTGGGACGCCGCGGACTGAGCACCGGCACATGGAAAAGCGAACAGCAGCAGCAGCACAAGAAGAGCGATAACGGCAAGACGCGACGACGCAGCAGAGGGCCGCAAGCCCAACCGCGCACAGCCGCCTCGCCGCCCCCAATGCACCGCCATACCCGCTGCCTTGCGACTGTCTTGCTGTGTGGCCTGTGGATTACTACTGCAGAGAAAGAGGGAGGGAAAAAGGACGGACACTCTGCAGAAAAAGCAGAAAAGGGGCGGAGCGAGCGCCGGTGAGAGTGCACGGCCACACGCGCAGCCGCCAACGCAATCGGCGCAAAGGAAAGCAACGGATGCGACAAGGACAAAAGTTGTACGGAAAAGAACCTCTGCGGAGCAAAGCGACTACAACACCCGCCCTCTCTCAGGAGCAGATGCTAAGGAGAAGACGCACTTCCACATGCCACACGCGCCCCTTCACGGCCGTTCGCCAATGCGAGCCTGTGCTCGCGAAGCATAACGCAGATGACTACGAGCCTTCACGCGCCCGCGTTCTCTTGCCCCTTCCATTCACACGCGGCCCATGATCCATGATCCTGCCTTTCATTAATCCACCCATCACCCCCTGGAAGCGACGGGCTGCCGCGTGCCGGGTGCCCTCCGCCAGCGGGTTTCTCCCCGCTGCGGCCAACTGCCCTAGCACCTTCAGTCTGCCTCCTTTCGCAAAAAGGCGGGGGTCCTCCCTTTGCGGGCAAAGGGTTGTCCCGGAAGGCTTCCTCCGACCCCTTTTTCGGCCCACGTTTGGCCCCGCAAGGGCGTTTCATCGCCGCGTAAGGGAAGGTGCCCCCTCCCCCCCCCAGACCGCCGGCCAGCGCACCGCAGTGGGAGCGCTCCGCCCCTCCCTTCGTCCTGTGGTGAGCCG